ACAGAACCTAAGCTAGTATCATTGGTAAAAAGGTCTGTTATGCCTATAACTCATAAGTTTTGCAGCTATTTGGTCTTAAACCAAACTGTTGGAAACCTGATGATGGCAGTAAAGGAGAAGTCAGTGGATCACAGACGTCGTTACAGCTCATCCAGAGGGGGCACATGATTGTCTACTTTCACCAAAAACCACAAGAGTAAACCCCACGGTGGCGCTAAAGGAGACAACGCAGGATCAACGAAGTCAGTAGGGTAAATCTTCTGGGGAATATCATGAATATCTGTACAATATTCTGTGCCCGTCCAGTAGATGTTGAGATATTTAAGCGGATAAGTGAAAACTTTGACCTCCGCTCAGTAGTCGTACTCGCCTGAGGACAGTGAACTGCACATGACTCTTGGTTGCTGGTGCATTGTTGTCGGAGGATTCCCACTGCAGTTTGGACACTATCACCTTTTGGATCCGAAGTTCTTTCAGACTCTCTTTTTGTTTGATGTTTTGTAGCTGTCAGCAAGTATTCACATTCTTAGCAAAAGAGGTGTTTTGGCTGCTTCGTATATCAGCAGAGACACTGGACAGCACAGGCTTTTGTGTTGTTAGCAGTTGCCTTTATACTGAAAATGTATAAGAGCAAAATGAAAGGAAGCAGAGCATAAAATCAATCAAAGGTGCTCCGTATGAGAAGAAGAAATCCTGCTGTTACAGGCTGTCGTACCTGAGGAGGATCACAACCCACCGACTGTACGCTGCAGAGCTAATGTAAAAGCTGCTGTTAGGTCCCCGGTGCAGCTATCAGCACTCTGGATCTGCAGGCTGGCAGAGCGATCACTGGTGTCAGATCTGAAGCAGCCGCTCCGCACCGAGGAAGACTGACTCATGCTGTGGGCTGTTGAAGCTGCTGTCTGCTCTCAAGGCTGAGGAAGGAGAGAAATCATCGGCTGTCAGTAACTTTTCATACATAGACAATCTGGTTTTCATAACAGTGATTCACCCAGAGGCAGCCATGTTCTCTTATTATTTAAAACAAGTCTTTTAAGATAGGTTTATATTGGTTGCAATATAAACTGATAACATTCAGGCTTCTGGAGAAATGAGTCGACTACTACTTGATTTATGAGCTCAGTAAACAGTTTCCTGATGAGTTTCTGGTCTCAGTCTCTAGTTTCAGTCTTCTTCCATACAGCATGATGTTCATTTAGTAACTGATGGTCCCATTTAGAGTAAAGTAGACCATAAAGCAGGGTATGCTTTAGGGCGGGGCTACCTTGTGATTGACAGCTCAGTCTCAGTGAGTCCGTCCAGCTCAACTCACCAAACTCAGCTCAAACTGTCAAACAGTGCTGATCAGATATAGATCCAGATTCTGTTGTTGACTATTTCTCTCCTCAAATCTGTTCACAAACACATGTTACTGTTTATCTGGAATACCAGATTGTGTGTGAGCGTACGAGCCGCCATTGTTTTCTGCTACAGTCGAGTTGAAACTGCGCAGCCAATGAGAGCAGCTCAACTCTTAGTTCGTCACCTCCACTGGCTCCGACAAACTGTCATGGTGTCGACCATGACGCAACACTTGAGGCTTCAAAATGGTACTCTGGAAACCGGAAAACTTGGAATCCTCAGAGAGTCAAACATTTCATCCACCACGTATCCAGCCACAGGCTTCATTAGTTCTGTGTTGCCTGCAGCTGCGCACAATTAAAATACAGTTCTGTTTGTTAAAATCAAAGTGATGGGAATATTTCCAGCCACTGAATTTCAATCTTCCAGCTTTCTGCTTGATGTGCAAGATTACAAAAATTAAACCAAAGGATCTGATTTGTTTTCAGATCAGTAGGGGATGACAACCAAAGTAGTTTTTTTGGGGGGGAGTAACTATAATATTATTACTGAAATAGTATTAATAATTAGTTGCACTACTTGTTAAGTAATATTATTGGTGTGATATTGTTACTAGTAATGTTAAAGTTACTATATATATATATATATGTATACTTTTAAGATAAAATAGGATTATAACACTTGAAGGGTTAATCCAAAAAACAAAAAGACAACAAATCTTTCCTGCTCTTGAGAAAAACTAGAGATTGTTGAGCACCAAACACGAAGGAACAAGGAAGCAGAAAACTGCTAATTTCCATAATTAGATATATTTAACAAAAAAAAGATTTTCACAATTTGCAGAAAATGTCTTTCCTCTTTCCTCCCCGTATCTTCCCCGACATCAGAGTCATCCGAAGATGACTGCTGGCGTTGAGGGAGATAACATGGATCTTGCAGGTGTCTGGAGGCGTCTTCTTTCTGCATTTGAATTCAGCAGAGGGAGCTGAGGGGAGGTCAGACGAGTCCACAGCAGATAGGAAGCAATTAGCTTGGAGTTCGGATACTGAGCTTTAAATGTGGTCTCTCTCTCACACACACACACACACACACACACACACACACACACACACACACACACTCGCCCCATCCTTTGCATGCATCGAGGCTGTTTTAATTGACTACTTAATTTGTTATTCCTCCATTTCCCTGCCAATTTTCTTCACAGTTTGGTGAGATGTTAGTGAGTTTCTCTTTCTAAATTTAGCTGCGATGTGAGCATCCACAGTAAGATGTACTGAAGTATTCAAAGTGGAAGTCCTGATACTGGGGCCCCCCGGCTGGGTCCTTCGGGTCCAACCTGTGTCCCTCTGCTGCATGTCGTCCCCTCTCTCTCTTCCCTTCAGCTGTTCTATCTAATAAAGGCAAAAAACCCACTTAAAAATATATTAAAAAAACCAAAGTCCTGATATTAAAGAGGAGATTTTACTCTCCCTCTCATGCAAACAGAGTCATAGTTTTGGGACAATTTATGCTTTAAGTTCAGTTGAAGAAGGACAGAAGGAAGTAAAAATAGAAGAAAGGATGCAAGTAATGAAGGGCAGAAAGTAAGGGGGATAGGAAGAAGTAAAGAAAGCTAGAAAATAAGGTGGGATGTGCAAGGAAGCTACAAAGTACTTCACATATCGGATAAAAACACGTAAAATACAACTGTTAAAACATATAGGCTAACCTATAAACGTGAGGTTTTAGCAATCCCTTAAAGGAAATCATGAAATCAGCATCAGGGGGATCCAAAGTTTAGGAGCCACAACTGAGAAAACACTGTATTTAAAATATATACATGGACAAACAGGAATAGGGAAATAGAGAAAAGTAACCGATAAATCAAGCTCAAGATAAATGCAAGTAGAAGATCTATTGAAGAATTGAAGAACTCAAATAATTCACACAAAATTGTACTCAACACAGGAAACTGATCGCCTTAAACTTTTAAAATGTACTAACTGTACAATTTAAGGATACAAAAATATTTGTAAAAGTTACTCATTTATTTTTAAGGTAAATCAAGTGAATTGTGCTTTTAAACTAGTCAGTATATTACTGACTTAATTAAAATGTGTTCACAGAATTTATCTGTATTCTTATATATGTATATATATTTATACTGAATAAAGTTAAAACTTAAATGCATCTTCTTTATTTTATCTTTTCTACTCTTCCACTAAAGCAAATTATTACATATATATGACATACAATGAAAAATTATTTACAATTAATCGATTATCAAAAAAGTAGCCAATTAATTTTGGGGCTTTGGGGCTTAAATAAGTTAGAGTTACTCCAACAGTTAATTTTTTATTTAGATTGAAGTTATGTTAGCTTACTTCTTTAATTAAAATACATTAGGATTTACAGTGTAGATACGATGGATTGTGGCAACCTGTCTGTTTTTTTTAAAACTTCTAATTTGCAACACCTAATATGTTTTGAAAGAAACACATATCTTATATTCAGTATGTGCTCAGATTTCTCTCATTGACGATAATCTTGTGACCATCTGCTGTATCTGCCATGTCAAACTCTCAATATGTTCTTTTCCTTGTATTCCTTTAAGATCTTCTGTTATCCGCCCGTCATGAAGGCAGGAGCGGATCCTAGAGAGAAATGTTTTGATTTTGCTAAATTAGGAAGTGACAAAATATAAAAGCTTCACTTTACCACACATTTGAATTTCAAAGACTTTTAGTTGCCCTCGTTGGTGTTTACCTGACGTCTAATCTAAACTGAATTTTAGTTGCATGACTGGAAGAAAAACTATTTTGCCTAATCATTTCAGCGTGCTGCGTGTACTTCAAAGTTCCATGACGTTAAGCAGCAGAGACAAGTTGCCTTCTATTTACATATATTATGGATATTCAAATATTAAACAGAAATTTTTGGTCAAACAAACTTCACACAGCTGTCTGTTGTTGGTGGCAGTTTCCTCTACAGAGTTTAAGGATGACACAGCTTTTTGGGAAACAGAACTTTTGTCTCTCAGTTTAATGATTATGTGACAAATGATGGAAAATAAAACTCCACTCCGTCTTCCAGAGAGGCTTTTGGTAGCACTAGTGTTGTACCATATGAAATACTAATTGTAAGTTGGCCAATTATAAGGTGTGCTAGAAAGAAATATACACAGTAGGCCTATATCTTAGTATTTTGTATTTAAGTTTTATTTTGTGAAAAGTAAAAGTCAATTGTCTAATAGAACAATGGTCGAGAATCTGGGAGAAGAAAACATTGAATTGGTCAAAAAAGTATCCTGTTAGGTCTGTTTTAAATTTCTAGTATCTAATACAGACAGAGAAAAGTTCCTAAAAATATCAGGAAAACTAATCTCCGATCACAAATCACACAGGAAATTATCTGCTCAGAATTGATCCAAAACACCTTAAAAACTTATTGCAGTTCTTGTTTTCACTAATTTGGTTAATTGTACAATTTATTAGTTGTTCACAAATCTATCACTTAGTCAGTGGGTGTCAGTTTACTCAATAATAAAAAGTTTAATGCAATAAAACAAGAGTTTTATTTGTTGTTTATTCTTTTTCTCTCTACTTTCTCCCCTTCCCTTTTGTTTCCGTCCTCCACTCCCCCTCTCCTCCTACCTGCCTCCTCTTCATCGCCGTCAGTGGGCTCCAGACGGACGAAGGCCTCCACCTGATGGAGATCCTGGCTCGCAGGGCTAAAATCCAGATGACTGACTTCGCTGAGCTCTCGTACGTATTTCTGCTTTTTTACCTGTCAGTCACACGCCAGCAGGAAAACACAGAGTGCTCGCTCCTTCCTGCTGTGTTAATGCTGTTTGTTCTGGTAAAGTGGGCAGTCTGGACTCAAATTCACCATCTAACCTAAAGCTGGTATTTTTTTTCCTCCCGGTTCAAACCATTAATTTGTTGTGGAGTATCATAAAAAAACACAAACCTGCAAGCGTACCATGTTCGCTGCCGCTCTGAATTACTATTGCGATAGTTATTGTTGATCAGTTCGCACCTGTTCTGGTTAAATAAGTCTGTTCAAACAGAACCGACACACTAGACTGGAAGTGACACATTTCACACCATTTGTTCATTTTCACAAGCAGTTTCATACTGATGATTTGAGCATTTTCAAGTTGTGCAGCTGCTGATTTAAATAAACAGCATCTTCACACAATCGCCTACAAAATAATCTATGCTGCCGACCTCTCGCCCTTTTCAGATACTGACATCGGCAGTGAATCATACACAGCAAAAACAGCCCTTCTAGAAACAAGACAAATATTCTAAAATACAATGAGATCTGCCAATGAGGTAAGCCAATTTAGCTTGGCAAGAATTCTTAAAATGAGCATAGATAATTAACAAAAACAAAATCCTACAGTAAGACATTATTATTATTATTATTATTATTATTATTTATTAAAATAATGAAACACTTAACAGCTGCTTCATTTCCATCACTGGGACAAGATGACTTTCTCTTAAACCGAGAAGTTGTGCGAGTACTCTTACTCTTAAAATAAGGACAATAATCTTGTTCCTCTGCTGGAATATTATGCAACCATTGTTGCTGCAGGTTAAATCGAGTTCAATATTAGCTGTTATATCTTGTTAAGATAAAGATTTATTTTCTTAAAACGAGATTACTTTTCCATTGCAAATTATGCTTGACAAGATTATTTTTCTTTTTAGACAAAAAATAAAACTAATTTTAGAATCAGAACCAGAATCATAAATACTTAATTGATCCCCAGGGAAAAATGTGTTTGTTACAGTTGTTCAAGGTGCTCACACTATGTTAAAGAATATAAATAATACTTATATTACAATCTAACACAATATACAGTATATTTACATAGAATAAAAATGTAATTATATAGGTAAGACAGAAATAAATATAAAATAGAAATATAATAAAAGCCTATGTATCTTTTTATAGTAATAAAATATATTTAATATTTGCTAATATATACTATTTCATAGAAAAAAAATCTTTTTTACTTTCTTGAGATTCCTTTTTTGCAGTGCAGATGTAGTTTATCAGTCTGATATTCCTGTTTAACTCATATTATGGTCACATGACCAGAAAATTAATGGGGATTACTTACTTTATGTCATAATCCTGCAGCAATAAAATACAGTAAAATTAGATACACCACGTTTTATTGGTGTGATGATGTTGAAGAAGAAAATGGAAGATCTAGAAGCTGAGGAGATATTATTTTCTCAGGAGTTGGTAGAGATAAAAAAACAGATATAAGGAGAATTGATATTGGATTGAATTTAAGCAGTTGGACACAAATCCAACTCAAAACTATTGCTAATGTTGATGAGTATATGTAAATGTTGCTACTGGATCTGCATCTGCTTGATACAACTTTATAAAGTGATAATATATTATGGCAGTATGTCTGTTAAGGTTGCCTTAAATCAGAGTAGAAATTAAATTAAATCAAATTAAAAGTTCTTAGCAAAGAGTACAGACATACGTAGTTGTCTCACAATCCTTGGGTCCTTCTGTTGTCCACTTTTATTTCCAAGCCTGTTCAGGCTTGAACATGCTTCTCCGAGCTGCACATAGACAAACGTGTACTCATATAAGTTTGATCTACACAACACGTTGTTAAGATTTAAATGGCGTGTGCGTCTGCTCCTCTGTGCACCTCTGCAACCTGTTGTTACTCAGAACACTTTAATCTGCAAAAGTTTACACGACTAACAACATGAAGTTTAAACCTCAAAATAAACTATTAAAGTTGTGCAGGTAAACTTTTGGGTCCCTATAATGGAAGTGAGTCCTCACAACGTGAGTCGGCTGCCAGGTTTGGGTCAACACAATGTATAGTAAACCAGCACATACACGTACAAAGTTACAGCTCGAGCAGTTCAGTGTTCAGGAAGCTATAAATAAAAGCATTTTAATGCTTATTATGTCCTTCTAAAACGCTCTTTACCCTGTAATGTAACCACGCCTCTGGACATGTAGCCCTGCCAGCTGTCAGACAGCCAAGCAGTTGAATCAAATTAAGAAATACATCTGGAAAATAATTCAAATTCATCACTGTAACATTTCAGAATCAGAATAGACTTCGTACTCAGACTAGAGATACTGAAGGGGCGAAGGTCTGCAGATGACTCATGTGTGCTTGACGTTCCCGACATCAACCACCTTGTACCTGTAGGCTCAAGTGGGCGGCAATTTTCTCAAAGGGCAAGCATCACATACTGAAACTCTTCAGATATTCACGAGCAGCTTCGGCTCCTCCGCTGTCACCCCCCCAGATCAGAGAGGGCAAACTGGTGGGATCAAAACAGAGAGATTTTCCAGTGGCACGAGGCGTTAAAATCTGAAGTGGAGAAAAAGGAAGAAAACGTTGCCCTTACAGAATAGAAATCCAAGGACGCTGCCTGATTTTTATTCTGTCAACATTTTTTCCTGCTCTGGGGGGGAAAGAAAGCAATGAGAGCTGCTCGTCCCCGTTATTGACATGTTGGAGTCGAGCCGCCGCTAACTGCAATCATTTATTAATGAGACTGAACTCTCCCTGAACCCTCTTTCTCTCTCTCTCTCTCTCTCTCTCTCTCTCTCTCTCTCTCTCTCTCGCTCTCTCTCTGTGTCTTTCTCTGTCTCTCACTCATTTGCTGTCATTATCTATTTCTCTGTTTCTTTTTCTTCCTCTCTCCTTTCCAATCTGATTCTTTCTCAGTTTGTCTCAATCTATTTCTGTCTGCTCTCTCTTTTTATTTTTGTCTGTCACTGTCAATCTCTCTCTGTCTCTCTTTTTCTCTCTCCTTTTCAGAGTTGCTATATTTCTCCCCACAGGTGACTTTGCAGTAGGTTTGTGAACATTTTCTATGCGGTGAGCTGCAACAGCAAAACAGGAGTCACTGCAGTAGTTTGCAGTTGAACCGACTGCTGGGGATTATAGTCAGTATACAGACAGTGCATTCTGTATTGATATGTGTACATAAAAGCGTGTGTTTCTATAGAGGCCTCTATGATCACAATATAAAAGCTTTGTGCAGCGAGAGACAGAACATGTTTAATCCAAACATGCAAATAAACCTGCAAGAAATATAACGTGTTGTAAGTTTCAGTTTCCATCACCTGTCAGTTATGATAACATTATACGTCTAACTTAATTGCTTAAATCTGATATGACATGGACTTTATCAGCAGAATTTATGTTTTTTTGCAGTGTTGTTGTGTTTTTCCACCAGATTAGCTTTGGTTCTTGAACCGGTTCTGTCAAAGATTCTTTAAACCTCGGTGCTATCTGGCGAACCAGCCCCCGTTTGCACCCATTTTGAGTGGAACCATTGTAATAGGATGTATCAACAGGTGTTGCACAATTCACAACAACCTCAAGCACATGACACGCCCACCTTCCAGGTTTTTTAGAAACCAACCAATTTATTTTTGGTCGAGCTGCTCCAAAGAAGTTTAAAACTAGTTGTCCAAATCAGAGCGTCCCTGTTGGTGGAAGAGGCCTAAAAGTGTTTTTTTTTTTTATTGTGCAACATTTGATACTTTCACCTCTTCAGGCTTGTAACACACTTTAAATGAAACAACCTGAGATTACAAATGTCTTTAACTGTGCACACTAAGATTATAACCTCTCATGTCGGGACATACAGCTTCGTTTTAAGGGGTCACAAGCCAAAAAGGTCAGACAGGTTGTAAACAAGCAAACATCTAAAGCCATCTTTATTTGGAAGTAAAACAGAAACCTGAAATGTCTGTAATATTCTGTCTTAGTGAATATACAACAGTAAATACAATGAAGCTGAACCAGGTCTGTAAACGGTAAAAATGGTTTACTTCTTAAAATAAGTTTGACTAACTTTGAATGTGAGATAATCTCTTGCATCACTATTAGTTACAATGGCCAAAAGTTAAAACAAGACCAAAGTTGTAAACTGGAATTAACCTTTGAATTCTGACATTGGAGGCTTAAAGTAAAGTTGACCACTTGCCTACGTACCTCACCCACACACGATCAAACAGCACCCCGATTTTATAGCACTTCCAAATTGCCAGGAAGCCAATCAAAGCCATGAAATAGAACATCACAACTTGTCGCTTTGTCTTCCCCCTCCAGCTGTTTTGGTTCACTATAAAACAAGCCACAGAACCGGTTGTTCTTGTTCTTTTTAATCTTCAACTTTCCAATTACTTTCCTCCATGGTTGACACTGTGCCGGTTGGTTTGCACCTTTTCTCTCAAATGTCTATAGCCACGTGTATTCCAAAGACTATAATAGATGCTCCGGCAAGGTGACAACGCACAGCGGACAGGTGTTAGAAAGGTGTGTCGTGGAATCTGTGTGTGTGTGTGTGAGTGAGAGGGATTATTCCTTTCTTTCTCACCTGATACATCAAAGCAATTTACCTCAGGTATTTCAAGAAATTGAAAGCAAAACCAATACAAACTTCTGATATGTTAGTAGACTAATAATTAGAATTGCCAGGTCCCAACAAGTTATGTGTTCAGTCATTCCTCTCCTTTGGAAAACCCACTGCTACTGTAGGTCAATCATTCAACTGAACAATTATATTTATTGACTTGTGCACAAAGAATGATAAATTCTTTGGAGTCTAGAGGATGCTGAGGTCTGGATGCTTCTGGTGAGCTCAGTCGTGGGCGCTAGAAGTAGCCAAACTGGAGGTGAATGTGCTGGAAGAGGGTCGTTGAGATTCACATTGGAATGACATTTGACAGCAACAGAGATACGACT